TAAAAGTTTTAGTTCTATTTAGTTTAGTTCTAAAGTATTAGTTCCATAGAAATTTTCTATTAAATATTATGTTAATTTAGTTGTATTCTGATTTGTTACCATTAACTTGTCAACACTTTTTAAATCTTTGCATTGGATATGATGAAGTAAAACAATGTTATAAAGATGCTTATTACATAAATACACATGTGTATCGTATAGTAAAAAATGGATGGATTCAATGTGGAGGTAAACATCATTTAAATTATTTTTGGTTTTGTTTACCCTTTCACACAGTTTAATCAGCTTTTATTTTTTATAGATTTGGAATTATTTGAAACCAATAAAGATGCTGTAAATGATGTTATAATACCTGATGAATCTTACTGTATTCCTCATGATCGTAGAGGAGTCCTTTCAATGGTAAATGATGGAAAACATTGTAATCAATCACAATTCACTGTATGTTTAAAACCAAATCCTTGGATGAATCATTTTTATGTTGCTTTTGGGTGAGTAGAATTAATTTATTTTTAGTGTTTCTATGTCATTAAAATGATTTAATAGTTTATAATGAAACATAAGTTAATTTATAATTTGTACAAAGACAACTTATAGATGGTGCTAGAGCTTTAACAAAATTAGAAAATGTGTCAACGTATTACGAACATCCTATTAAACAAATAGTAGTTTCACAATGTGGAGAATATGTTTTTGGAGATGAAATTAAGATGGAAACCGAATCGAAGATTTTCCTTGTTAGTACAATAAAAAATATTTTTATTGGAAGTTACTTTTCATTGCATCCTATTCTAGTCAAATTGAAATGTATTTTACTATTAATTCTATTTTAGAAACATCAATCACCAGCAAGCATGGAAGGAGAGGATGTAAGAGACATTGATACTACATTTGATTTTTATTCCATTACGCCATGGCTTGATAATATTGTGGATACGATAGACGTTCGTGATACAGCTTCACTTTTGGTGGCTGAACGATATCTGAATGGTCTTTATTGTCTTGCAAGTGATTATGAACCAGGCATGTACAAATAAAGTCATATAAACAAGACATATTCATAAAAAAGTTTTTATATATACTTTAAATTGGAATGCAAATATTTAATATGCATTATATGATTTTTATAGGAATGGATATGCGTGTTTATGAAAAAATTCATCTAGTTGGTATGACAAAATATGATACAACAACTGCGAAACTGTATGATTTGTTATTGAATTTTCATCCAGATAAAATGACTGAATGGGAAAAAATTACATTCATTTCTGAAGTTTCTAAAATTATTCTAGCTTACGTTTTTCATTATGAACATAATGAAGTAAGTTAAATGTCAAAAGTTGAAATTTTTAGTATTTGTGCAGTTAATATTATATACTTAATTTATTTAGTTTTGTCTGAACCATATTTCAATACATACCCATTCAACAATACATAAAATATTAGAAATTGCACATGAAATAGCATTGAAAGCTATTGAAAAGGATAAAAGGGCATCTCTTTCTCGTGAATGCGGTGATTTAAAAATTGCAAAGTATGTCACTTTTTTTTTACAAAGGGAAAACGATCTTAATATGAATTCCTTTTAAATTACATTCTTATATTTTATAACTACAGGATATTTGAAGCAAAACATTTCAATAATATGTTAGTCTCAGAAAGCTGTATGTCAGTATTAGAGGAAATAATAACTAAAGCCATACTATGTTTAATGAAAGCTTTTGAAGTAGAAGAATAATAGAAATTCTTAATTTACATTTTTATTTAAATTCATTGTAAGTATAATAAATTCGAATTGTAGATTTTTAAATGTAATAAATAAGAGTTTGTTTACATTTGTTATTTATCTATTGCATTAAACTTGTACTAAATTTTAATACCTAAAAATATTTTTATTTTTTATGAAAATTTATACAAATATAATTTTTTTTACTAACAATGTATTATATACATGTAAAATATTACTTTTTAATTTTAGTAAACAGTCTTTTTCCACGACCTTTAGACGCAGGTTTTTTACTACTTGTGTTTGACTTTTGTTCACTTATAGCACATTTGTCATGAAATGCACTGTAAAACATTTGTGCATCATTTTTATTTCCAAGCATTTCCGTAAGTTCTTCCTACAAAGATGTTAATGTGCATGATTCGATGAACTAACTTTAAAGTTGTACAAAAATATAATAAAATATTCTATTGTAGCATAAAACAAAATAATTTGGAAAATCCAATATCCTATTATATATCTAAAAGGTTTAAATAATAATACGTACTTTAGTAAGTTTGTTAAGATGATCTAACGATTGTCCTTTATTTAATATCATGTGTAAATTTTTGGTAGTAACTCCTGGTAATTTAGCAACCAAATCTTGAATATGGGGATTATATTTTTCTACTGTCATCTCTTTATTTTCTTCAAATCCAATTTGAGCAGCTGTGGTTGCATCTGGTTGATCTTTTCCTTGCTATACATTTTTATTATGAATAAATAAAGTGAATTTAATGTGCTGTTTTTAGTTTCTATATTTTTATAAATTATAAATGTGATTAATAAGACAAGATTACAGTTTCATTTTATTACCTTTAATTCCTCGAATAACTGTGCTGTTGCATGTGGTCCAGGTGACCATACAAGCTTTAACCGAGGAAAATGTAAAGTCAAAAGTTGAAGTTTTGAAGTAATAAACATATTTTGTATGTCTTTACTAGCATAATAATGGCCCTGTAATTATAAAATTTTCTTTTTAATGAATTTGATACTTTAAAGCATTTTCTTTTTACAGTACATAAAAAATATATACTTGGAAACAGAATGGTTTATTTGGATCAAATTCTATTAACAGCATTGGTTTGCTATAATGTCTTGTCATGGCAATGGCTTGATTATACAATCTTCCACTATTTAAAGAACCAATTAAATCAGAGATACTTTTTCTTTCAACGCAAATGTCTGGTGATAAAATATAATCGCCCACCTATAAGTAAAGAAAAAAGCAATTGTTAAATATTCAGTTAAATAGGATTTCACAATTCAATTACAATTTTTCGTACCTGCAAAGTTATAGGTTCGATTTTCATGCCCCGTGTATAAAGTATAGCAGGTAGTTCACTTCTGAATTCTCTCATATCAACTATAACAGTATCTGAAACATCAAGTTGTACTCGTAATCCACCTTTACGTGTATTTGCTTCAGAGTCGGTATCTGACTGTACTTGAAGACTTAAGCAATCTTCAGTTTTTCCATCTTGGTCATCAGGTATAACCATCGTCTAAAATAAGAAGATAGTGTATTATAGTTGTGTAAATCAAATGTTTTGTTTAAAACATGGTAACATACAGTTTTAGCATTAATCAGTGTATGAAACGCTTCTTTCTCCCGCCTTAAAGATGTAAGATATTCTTGTTCTTCCACAGAACCTCCATAAATTAAGAAGTATACTTTTAAATCTATTGATGGATTGTTGTTTTGATAAATCTATGTAAAAGGTATATGCACTTAACATTGGTAGTTATATTCTGTTAGTGAATTGAAGTTTTAGTTTTATACATACTTCAATCTGCCGTACAGCAGAAATATCCGCCACATACATAATGATATTATTTGGCATATGTTCATTCAAAGCCCGTTGCAATGCCATTGGATCTCCATCTTTTTTTAAAGATTGTATCAAAATAACCGGAGAGTTTGTGTTCATATTAGTTAAATCTAATTCAGCCATCTAAAAGAGAAATATATGTATCAAATTCTTTTAATTTGGTACATAATATGCAGAGTAATAAGCTACTGCCTTACCTGTGAACAGTCTTCAAAAAAAGTCTGATGTTTATCTTCATTAACTGATGAACTAGATTGACTTTCTTCTCTAACTTTTTGAGATAATGTTAATACATAAGAATCTTGCTCTGCATTTACATCATCATCATCATCATCCTTTTTAACAGATGAAGACTCTTTTTCTATATTGTTGTCACTGTTAAAGTAAATAAAATATAATAATAAAAATGAAAATGTTTAAATTATACATATTACTTTTTTAACAAACCATTTTATGTTGAATTAATTATATACCTCAGCTTTTGTACTTCTTTATGAGAAAGTTTTTTCATTGCTTCATAAAGTAAATATTCACTGCAACCCATAGTTAAACAATTTCTTAACTGATAACAAATATTACGATTATGCACTAAAATAAAAATTTTTTCAACATTTCTATCTGCTTTCTTTTTATTATCATTATCAATTTCAAGTAATACTTCTGTTAAAGCAGTCCATTTTGGATTAGCTTCAGGTTTTAATTCTGTTTAGAGAGAAGAGCATTATTAATAAGTTGTACCAAGAAGAAGCTATACAGTATAAACAAAAAGATTTACCATTTTTATCATTATAAACTCTTTCTTTTGCATTTTTGAATAAGGTATCTACTGA